CAGTCCCAGATGAGGTAGTGAGCAACTTTGCTGCATTCTGAACCTCGGATCCTCAGCCCTTCATACGCTACCCTGTCAAACACTTTTGTGAGTGTGTCTTCCAGATGAAGTGTCTCTTCGGTGCTGACTCTCCCAGATCCCATTAAAGGGTGCCTGCTGTGTCCCACTGCTTGTCTGGCCCAGCCCTCCACACTCTCCTCCTGTGGATTTCCTTCACAGCCACGTTGAATCCGCTTTTCCTTATCAGGCCGGTACAGGCCTGCCTCACATGCTCCTCCCTGAGACAAGGATACGAGAATGGGGGGCTGCATCCAGCTGCTCATTGTTTTGCTTCACAAAACCATGCCATGGGCACAGATTAACACCAAAAACTAGACGGAAGCAGCCAAAGGAAAAGGCCTCTCAGAATGCCTCCACACGGCTGCTGGAGCAACCACTGTTTGATGTCCGTCGTGGGCTATGTGGTTCACTGCTGCTTTCGTTTCCAAGGGCCTCATTCCCACCAAACTGTCCCCTCAAATAGGGAAAATATTTACAGATGAAAAAAGGCAAGTGAATGGCTTTTCCTTAACTAGGCTGCTAGTGCCTTAAATTTAGGTCTGCTTACACACAGCAGCTCCTCTTTCAGCAGTCTGTATGACCAGCCTAGAGAGGTCTTCTGCTCTTCTCACCTGCATGGTCACATTAGACTCGGCATTTGTGCAAACCCACCTTCTTGTTAAAGACAGGAATCACAAGCTAGGAATCTCATGCTTTAAAATATATTCCTGTCTGCTTGTAGGTACTCATAAACTACTGAATCTCCTGTGATGCAGCAAGGCACAAAGTTGGAGTCTTCCTGGTGAAACCAGAGATAAAATCATGTTGTCTTCCTTTCTACAGCTGAGTTCTCACCAGTTGTAGACAGACGGCAATATTCTACAAACTCTTCATGGGTCTGTTTGTCAAAACAGCAAATCTCAAACAGAACCTGGAAACATGTAGACATGTACACTTTCTAGGTTTGAAAAGATATTCCGATGCATTTCATTTTCTTAGGACTATCAATTATTATGGAACAGTAAATGGAAAGTGAAAGTAATGGAGGGAAATGGAAGGCAATAACCTCTACGCCCAATTGTGCAGACAGATACAAACTACACATGCAGCTGAGAACAGAGGAATTTTGCCAGTTTGGCAAAATTACAGGAACAGATCATTAAAAGTATCTAGATATGAGATCTATCACCCTACATTTAATAAAAGTATCTAAATATATATCTATAAATATTTAATAATGATATAAGGAGTTCTTAAGGTCAGATTGAAATAAAAATTAAATGCCTAGACAAGTTTTGAGATCTGAGACTCATTTGTTAAAACCAACATTCTTAAGATTTCTGGTGGCTGCATGCAAATCGTTTCATCAACAGTAACAGTAATGCATGACATACACTATTACATAATGTAATTATCTGTAATTCATGAATATTAGCTAAACTCCTAGATGAGAAAAATTAAGAACTTTAATAGTCATTGAGCTATTTCAAGTCTACCATTAGAATATGAGTATTCTTCAGTCCTGATATGAGCCTTGCACTACCATATCTCCTGACAGTGCTGGAACACTGTTGATGAAGTAAAATACTGCTATTCCTTTTACAATTCTCAACAGCATTTAAATAATTTTTGTTCAAGGTACCCAACCTTCAGTACTCTGAGACGGATACTGCTAGAGTAGTTCAAGACAGAAACTTGAAAGATCTAAAAAGTAATTGACATCTGGCACAGTGACTCAATTAAATACCATGCTGAATTAATTAACTTGCTCTGTCTCCTGAGCCAACAGCAGTGAGACTGTATTCAGCAACACAGTACTGCCTGAAACAAGAAGCACTTCAACAGGATATCACATGTACAGGCTGTATTCAATGCAGAGTGCAAGGGTACTAAGTAAGCTGCAACTGTTAGAGTTAGGTAATGAATCCTGTGAGGCAGCGTCACATTGCTAACACCGAACAGTAAAGTTGGGTAAGATACTTGTAGTCAGTCACAAACATATTTCCCAATAAAGACAGCAGCTGAAAAATTATGATATTTACTCACCTGAGGGTCCCTCAATTTTTCTTTTCTTTCCTCTCTATACCAAAAATCCACATTAAAGCTCTTTTCCCAAAATTATTTGATGTTTATAGTAGTACAATATTTGAAGTTCTCGTTCAGAAAACAACTAAACCTGCTGTCAGCTGCTCATGAGAAAGTTTGTTTGAATTCTAGTGACATGAGGCTTTACCCAAATGAGCTTTCCAAAACATATACAAATAACCTATGTAAAGAATCACAACTCCTCTTATGAACAACAGAGAACATGTACGATAGTGAGATAAGTAATCAAATATGTCAAGCAAACAAAAAACTCATAAATAAACATGAATCATTTCAAGAAAAAAAAAGATATAACAAAAAATATGTAGAAGCTGGCACTGGGATTTTGTTGCTTTAACAGTAAATTAAAGTTGCATCAAAAGGTTTACATTTCTTCACACAGCATTCTAAAGTAACAAATGTAGGATTACAGGAAACATCTGATATTTGAGAAAAAGAAACAATACTTAGAATCACAGAATAATTCAGGTTGGAAGGGACCTCTGGAGGTCATCCAGTCCAAACTCCCACTCAAAGTAGGGCAAACTTCAAAGTCAGATCCAACTTCGAAGTTAAATCAGATTGCTCACAACGATATCCTGTTCAGTTTTGACTTTTCAAAGGATGGACTGGCTCAGAGGACAAAACACTATTTCTGAGGACAAAACTTCTGTTTACAGGAACCTTTTCAGATTTCCAAATGTATTTATGTTTGTAGGCAAAAGTAAAATCTTTCAAGTGTTAGCAAAAATAGGGTTTATGGGTTTTAATTTGACAAGAAACAAAATATCTTTCCAGTTTAGAGAAAGTTTAGAGGAAAAAAGTCCTTAAGATTTTCATCACACATTTCTCTTAACTATTTTGAGAAAGCTGTACCATCCCATTAAAATTACCAAATTAAGTCAGTTCTGTTCACTGCTTAATTACCAGTTCATTAAAATCCAAATATCTCAGTGAAATGTTTTTGATACAGCAAAAGGGACAGATTCACAAAGTAATAACAGACCTAATATATGCCTGTGCTACCAAAGGGGAAGCAAGTTCCTCCTAGAAGGATTCTAGTTGCTCCATATCTCCATCAAAAAACAAAAGTGAAACAACATGTTTGATGGCTGACATGTTGCAAATTAATCCTAAGAATATCTGATAATGATTAATTTTGTAGTAAAGGGTCAATCAACATAATCTCATATACTTAAACTTTATCTTCACATCCTATATACCTGAGGAAGTGGTACAAGTGGACAGGGTGAGAGGGACCACACCAAGCTAGCAATTCTCCTAAGTTATGGATTGTGCACTAACTTTGAGCTACAACAGGACTAAGGTTTTGATTACATGAAAGTTGATGAAAGTAGTAATAGTGGAATTTAGAAAATTATTTGAATTACAGGTGGTTATCAGAAATAAAAATTAAATGGATGGAGAAAATGGAGACAAGTATTCAAATCTTCCAGTTTCTCCTTTCTCACAATAAGGCATTTTGACTGTGTAGTACTTTTGAAAATCTGTTCTTTATTCAGGTGCCTGAATGGGAAATGTGATCTGGGTTGGGAATGCTGAACTCTAGGAAACTTAGACAAAGTTTCCATGCCACTTTCTATAACATTTCTTAGCACCTTTTGATCAATAAATTACGCTAAAGGGTACAAAATATTAAGACTTTAAATGGCTACTATGTACTTATAACAGAATAATGTTTCAGTCAAATTTTAATATGCATATTTACAGAAACCAGCATGCATCCTATTCAGCAAGCCCTTAGAAAGAAAACTCTAATATACAGGCATGGGTTCTACAGAGAGGAGTTAAAGACTATCAGTTTCCCCCCTTTTCTCCTATGTTCACATAACCCTTCTCTCACACTGTCCCAGATGATTCATCAGCAACTCAGTGTTCCTCACTCTCTTCAGGTCCTCCAAGGGCAGGACAATACCTAGCATTGGTGAACACTGGGAAGCTCAGCTTCTCCATTTACAGCACAGATTCGTGTACCCCAAATATATGTAATCCCCTTCTGTGAAAACAGTTCCACAGGTCATTATGCTAAATACATTCAATGCAAAGTCTGTAATAGCAAACAGTGATCAAGCTGCAGATAATGGTTCTTCAGAAGTATCCCAAAGGGCAATGCAATGCATGTTCCAAGATTGTTTAAACTCTTCTCCTAGAGATATTAGTTGCTTCCTTCCTGATATTCTCAGAAAATTAATCTGAACTATACACAAATAATTTTGAAGCTCAGACTTAAAACCAATACAAACAAAGAAGAAATGAAGACCTAGGAATGATATGATTTTCTGTGCACTGAACCGAGGCCAGCTAAGCATTACTTTTAAGTAATATGGTCCACATACTTTCTGCAATCAGAAGAGAAGGCAAGGCAAATATAGAATATGACAGGTGTCTTTTGATGCCTTTCAAAAAATGTTAATTTGATGGAAGAGTTTTCTATATTCAGTTACATTAACAGTATGGTAAATTTAATTAATTTTATCCAAAAATAATGTAGTTATTTATTTTTATACCATTTGTTATATAAGCTAGGTATTCAAAAATTAATGCTATAAAAAATTAAAAAAAAACACTAAAAAAATCAGATATTACTACTGAAACACAACAACTTGGTTCAGCAAACAAGGAAGTGACATTTCCCTCCTGTAAAATAACAAGTTAAATACTATTAACCTGTGCTCCAAATAACTTCACATGGATGGTTGCCATAGATGAACTAATTGGAACAGAGCCAAATACCACTGTCCATTAAAGCTAACAATGCCTGTTTTCAAATGCTCCGCCTGAGTAGCAATTCAGGTTATTCCCTAAAGAACAACACACAATATAACAAAGCGAAGTGTCTCAGAGCATCTACATACCAAGGTGTTATTATTCAGATCCATCTTCCCAGCGAAAGGCCCCCACGTTGTTCCAACCGGAAGCTGCTGCCGGCTCTGAATCTTGCGCTCCCCGTCTTTCTGGACCACCTCCAACTCTCCTGCAAACAAAGAAAACAAGCAGTGTTGAGAGTACTTTCACTCATGCCTTGACAACAACCACCTCTGCCTTTGTGTTGGTTTTAGACGCACAATGTTCTGAGGACCAATATAATGAGAATTAATTATGCTTGTCTGAAAAACAACTGATCTTGTCATCCTGCAGAAGAAAAACAAACCTTTTCCCCTTATAATTATATTCAAATTTGGTTTAGAAAATCACGTTCCTTTCTTGCATCTTTTCACACACATTAGAGTTTGAAAGCAATTTTATTCAGAATAGCCATTTCATAAAAGTTCTTAAGAAGTGCTGAGGAGGGGGGAGATGACAGCTGAAAGGAGAGAGTGCAATAGCAGCCACACCTGGTGTATTAACCTCGCTGACGCATTTTGCTGCACAAGATCACATTTTGAAACGTGAAGCTACTAAAAATTTGAGAGACACACCATATAGCGATATAAATCCACAGTATCTCTGAGATACTATTAAAAACATTTACTACAATTACAAACAGGAATTTCAACTGAATGAGGTTTTACAGGCAGTAACATTTCAGAATTAGATCAAAAATACTTTTAATTGTTAGCTTAAAGTTATAACACAAAATATGTAAAAGCAATGGGGAGGCTATATAATGATTTTTGGTTTTTTTTAAAAACAAATTTTATTTCTGAAAATAAGGACTTAGAAATTAACACTTAAAAGTGAATTTGTTTCTTTAGCTCGCCTTAACTATTCTGGATTTTCCAGTAAAGAGAAAGGATAATACATAATTGATCATTCTCATGGAGGGAAAAATAAAATTCAGTTACCACTTTTCTCCCCCATATTTTTTTCACTTCATTTCAAGACTGAAAAACTAGTCTGGACAACCCTTCTTTGAAGGCAGCCTCTTCACTAAGCCTATTTTTCTATCAACAGATGTTTCAATCAAAAATACAGCAACAGTTATATTTATATACACAATTTCTAACACTATTTTCTAAAACAGATATAATAAATTCTGGTTTCAGACTTTCAGAGGGATAGAATGGAACAAGGAGAGGCTCATCTCTGCTCTTCTTGTTAGATGTTTAACTGCACTTCCAAGTTTTGCCCTTCCTGAAGGTAGGCAAAAAAGCTGTGGTTCTCATGAGCAGCAGAGCTTACCACGACTCTGCAGTAGCCATGATTTCTCAGGACCTGTTTTCCATGACTGCTAAAGCCCCTTCCTCTCTTTCCACACCAAACAGATGCAACAGTGATTCCTGTCTTTTGCATCAGCACATCTCAACAACTCTACCCCAAATCAGGATGGTGCTTTCCCACAAACAGAGTAAAGTCCAACTGTGCAAGGAGTCAGCTCATCACAGATTTAGAACTGGCAGTTGTTGTGAAATGAACCTTGGACCGCAGGAAGTGAGTAACTCCTGGCTCACAGGCAGCCTCCACAGACTTCCCCAAGCTAACCATTCCCATAGATGCCCGGATTTACATACAGTCAAGCTGCAAAGCTTTTCCTTGTCCACAGGTGTTAATCTTGACCATTTTCCAAAGAGATGACTTGGCTTCAGCTTCCACTTTCAAGCACAGAAATCTAAATTTCACCTCTGAGTGTTGCAGATTACAAAACTACTCTACGTAAAATTGTGCATCAGATCCTTCCTGCAAACTGGAACAAATCTAGGAAATAGAGCTGTACTGGTTTACAAAAGCTTCTATGTATGTGGGTGAGTCCGCATCATGACAGTGCTATGACATTTTAAAAGGCAGTATGTGAGCAGGAAAGCTTACGGATTAATTATACCTAATTTACACATATGATATATTTGCATCCAAACAGAAAAAAAAAACATAAATGCATTTTTTTCTTCTCACAGTCACATTGTTAAAAATTGTATTAACTTAAAGAAATCTCTTTATATGTTAATTACGGAAGAGAGAAATTGCAAGGTAACATGTTTATCACTTAGCCATACTGCAGCATTTTCTCTCTTCATAGAGATGAAAACTGCAGCATTTGCTTGCTTTCACACACTAAAAAACAGCTATGTCTATGGACATGTCACATTTAACTGATACCAGAGGAATCATGAGAATCTTTGAAAACCCTTTTAAAAAATAATTCAGCCTCCCTTTCTGCCACTGACATTTTTCATTTGAAAAGGGTTCAGACACAGTCAAACAGTGACTCCTTATCTGTACCTGTGGATTTACAAGCAGGCCTGTCTTTTAATGGATTAAGAACGACAAACTTAGGGCAGATCATCCAGTGATATCCAAAAACCTACTGAAGTTTTAAGGTACACATCATTACACATTATATTTTAAATAAAATTAATAATATGAATCTTATACCTGATAAGTAGTTCAGGTTTGAGGCAAACAAGATCAAGCTTTTTTTTTCCAAACATGTAATATTTCCCTTCAGCTTATAATTAAATAAGTTAATATGGATTCTTTCTCTCATTCTCTTTTGTTACAGTTCCAAGCAGTAGTTTGGGCAATACATTTCAATATATACGAATACTTTCAATATACTACAGATGGGATAACATCATGCTGAATTGTACTGAAACTTGTGTTTTCCCATCCACTTAGAACACTATGACAGAGTAGTAGATTACAGACAGGGTAACAAAATATTTTGCTGTGTAACCTTTCTGTTTCCCTTCATCACACTTCCCCAAAAAGTCATTTCTCTCTTGTCACCATGACCAGCAGCCATTTTAATGCTATGGATGAATGTCAGACTTGGGAAGAATAACCTGCTCTCATGTTTTGGCAAAACCAGACAATTTGGCTATGTTGTACAAGGTTCAGCACATTACATTTGATCCTTGGCAAAGATTTTTCTTTTTCCCACACAAAATCTTTTTTTCCTTCGAGGTAAAAAATAACACTGCCTGCAACATTTCTGCATTCATTTACAATATTTTGCTCCTCTGAAATTTTTTACTTGGTGAATGGTATCAAAACTGTGCCACAGAGGGGGCCAGTCTCCCACTGATGTAATTGGGGCTGTCTACTACTCACCACTGACTTCCCACAAGGGTTAAGTGGTTTAAGAGCCATACCTGTGGTATCAAGCAATGTGTGTTCTTCAAGGGTGTTTGCCAGAAGAGAAGAGAATCTCACCCTGTGACTGTTAATTATGAGGGTTTGAAAAATGTATTAACAAAACAAGATTTTCCCTTTCAGCCTCAGAAGTTCAGATGCAAGTCTGAAGTGCTCTCTGCAGCTACCATTCCTGCACAACTGCTCAGGATCTTAACAGATTACATCAGGAGAAGGAAGAGGATCTGAGACTTCATTGCTGTACCACCACTTGCAGTAAGAAGTGTAAAGACTCTGACTTCACATATGCTTGTCCATGGAGATTCCAACTTGTGGGTTGAAAAAGGAAAGAAAGGATGAAAAACTGCTGCAGCTTCCTTTAATCCGTGCTCCAGCCCAAAGGAAGCAGAAAATTCTGCGCCAAACACTGTTAGGTGTTTCTAGTAATCAGCAATTGCAACAGACCACCTCAGTACCGAACATAATGTTCCTTCACGTAACAGCAAATTATAATAGAATTCATTCACACCCCTGGAAAAAATATGTGATATACTCATCATTCCCATGGCAAAGTAGAGAAGTGGTTTTATTTTACTGTTTTCATCCTAGACTTGTCAGCTCTTCGACTGAAAAGGACAGTCAGAAGTATAACAGAAGCAGCACTAAGAAATATAAGTAGAGAGGAAGTGATGCTCTGCTTTTAGTTTTTGCAAGTTAGGTAAAAAAATTAATTAAAAGACATTCCATTTAGTGATATTTACTTACCCTTTCCTGGCTATAGACAAAGTATTTTTTTCAGCTTGTTCTTCAGGAACACACTTATTTCCAGCTTGCTGAGTAAGTTTATACAAAATATTTGAGACACACAGTATGGGCTAATCAATTTTGGTAAAAGATAATGCTGTTAGTGCTGTGGGCTGTTTCTCTTATCTTGTTGATGTAGCATACTTTTAAAGTCTGTGATTACTCAAAGACTTATGATAGCTGCACTGTAAAAGAAGCCTCAAGTCATGACTCACTAGTACAGCTACAAAACATCCCATGGCTTTTAAGATATTAGGCCACCTTGGTGGATAGAAAACCAGAATGAAAGGACTCAATTTACGATTCTTTTCATACATATACATATTGTTTCAGGGATGCCACATAGGGCTTATATAAAACAGAAGGTAGAGAGGTCAGTTTAGCCTTGTATTGTCTCACATCATAATCAGGATAATTTTTTTAAAACCCTCCACAAAACATATAGTACATACAGGAACCCAAAACCAGCTTTTGGCCCTTAACATGATTTGACAGCAGCTGGAATACCAGAAGAATTCAATTATACATAGTATTTCTGGACCAAAATAACACTGGCTTTCATACATCTACCCACATTCTGGATTAAGAAACAAAGGAGTGTATATCTGAAGGTGAATGATGAGCAGTGTTTTGTGGGAGAAAAATAGAACTACTTCATTCAGAAATAACTGTATTTATACACATTTAACATTTCTAAGCAAGTCACTGATAGCTTTGGCAGTAGGGTTTTTTTTGTTGTTGTTGTTTTGGTTTGTCTTTTTTTTTTAATCAGGAATAGCTTTCTAAGTGGAGTCAGTTAAAAACAATGAGTAAGCTCTTCCTCTCTTATAATTAGAGACTGGTTATTTGACATCATGGGGCTTTACCAATTTCCACTAGCAAACGGCTCCTTCTTTGCATATTTCCAGTCCACAGCCACCTGGCTCTCTAATGAGTATTTTTGCACAGCACAGAAATTGTGTATGTTGTGGTTTCAGACAAGGACTGCTCTGAAGCCAGAGTGAGCAAGTTAAAAACACTCTTAGAAGTTCTTAAGCACTGTCCAGCCCAAGATCTGCCTGCCATCCTGTATGCACAGGAAGAATCTGCAATTAATATTTGGCTGGTGATTGCCTCCATTATAACAAACTAATACGTGCACGTTTGCACACAACAGTTCAC